ATATATTATATATATTATATATATTATATTATATTAAAATAGTTTACAACTATAACATTATACAAATATAAGGAAACATTGATATAAAACTTAGTAAAAAAATTCTATATTATAATCTCATTCAAATAGAAGCTGAGAAAAAAAAAGGAGAAGTGAATCACAGTTGCAATGAAAATAAGTGAGTTTTGTAACCTATTTAAAAATGGTACTAACCATATCTAACTTTTCATCTTCATTAATCAAGCAAATCTTCTGTGTTACAGAGTGAACAGCTGCTAAATCAAGTGATCCAACGCATACTTGAATGGGATTTTTCATATATGATTGAGCTAAGCGTCTTACACCTGGAGGCCATGTAGCGCTGACAAAAGGACAGAACAAAGTAGCACATTAACATTCATTGCATCAATTATATACAACTTATATATGAGTATATGTATAAGTATATATGATTTAAATTTCTTTTTTCTTAAAAAATCATATTTTAATGATGTGAATCTTTAATAGATATAGCTTATATATACCTCGTCATAACAGTTTGTCTATCTGGCCGCACACCCAGTAAGGTTTTGCGAATTTGTGGTTCAAAACCCATGTCCAACATACGATCGGCTTCATCAAGTATGAGATATGTTACAGCTGTTACATTCAACACTCCTGCCTGCACCAAGTCATTTAATCTTCCGGGAGTCGCAATTACTATTTGCACGCCCTTTGTTACAATATCGATTTGTTGCTTGCGACTTCCACCACCATAAACGCACACTCTGAAATAATTTTCGATCATGTAATATGTAATAAGCAAAAGTTTATAATGTTCCGAATATAAAATAATAACACATGAAAATGCGCAAATCGGAATCTTATTGTATGAAATAAACTCACGCTTTAATGCCGCGATAAGAATATTTTCCTACTTCTTTCTCAATTTGCAATGCCAATTCTCTTGTTGGTGCCATAACAAGGACATTTGGTCCAGGGCGCTCCTCACGTGGAGTTACTTGCCCATCAATATGAATTAAAGCAGGCAGTAAAAAAGCAAGAGTTTTTCCTAAAATCAGTATTATCAATATATATATGCATACAGTTGCAAATACAATCATGAGATAAAAAATACTCGAACCAGTTCCAGTTTGTGCTATCCCAATGAGGTCTTGACCACTCAATAGAATAGGCCATGCCTGACATTGTATAGGACTCGGTTTTTCAAATCCCTGTTTTTGTATTTCTCTAAGAATTTCTGGATAGTTCTATATTTTAAATAAAATATGTATGGATCTTGTAAAAATGATAGATATATTAAGCTCACATTTAATTGGTTATATTACTTGGAAAGCTTGTTTAAAGGTTTGAATAAGATTTGGTATTTTTATCTTGTCAGAGCCTTCTTCATTCTCGAAAACAAATTTAACTTCTATATCATTGTTGATTTTCCTGAGTTCGGCTACTCTCGTTTCTGGCATATGAGTAACATATATATCCTCCTTGTAAAAATTTTTTATAATAGGAGGCAAAGTTGCCCATCTTTCCTTTTGATGGTTTTCCTGCCGAAACAAAGATTAATGTACTCATATGTTCATATATTATGAAGTAATTGATCAATTCAATTTATTATAACGTGCAAAACATACATATTCTTCATTGGCCTTGACCCAATCAAAATTATTCCAATCAATTTCTTCTTTCTTTTCTCCAAAGTTAGTTTCTCTCTTCTGGTTAGATTCTATACCTTGATGTGAAATACTTCTATCAATTAATAATTCCTCTATTAAACTTTTAGCTCGTTGCTGTGCTTCGTCTGTACCAATCAATGTCACAGCAGTTTGTCCATTTTCATTTGATTGTTTGTCAATCTAGATAAAGGCAAAAGTATCGCAATTGGATTACCTTTTACACAATGCATAAATAAATAATTCTTTGTTACTTACATTGATCTTAGCATTGCTCTCATCTTGCAGAGCTTTAATTTTGCTACCACCTCTTCCAATAAGTCTTCCGACATTATTGGCATCAATGTATATAACAAGTTCATTTGTATTGTTTGAACTATTATCAGTACTCCTCTTACGTGAACTGTTACTGTAAGTTTGAGTATTTGAACTATTCCAGTTATCACTGGAAGATCTGTTATAGTGACTCTGAAACTGACTGTCTCTTCTGTCTCTGTTTCCTTCCCAATTGCGATAATTTTGATCATATCTGTCTGATGATGTTCTGTTATCTTCCCTTCTGTGACTCATTGTTGATAGTAATAGAAACTTTTGTGATAAAAATTAAATTGTTCTAAAATATATAGATATAACATATTTAGTATGAAAGACTGAAAAAACAAATATCTGTGTTTATTTCAGTTATATTTTCTACATTAGAGAAAATATTAAAAATATTGTATACATTATATACTTTTTAAGAATTATATAGATGTATAAACTATAAAGAGAATAAAGAACAATCAAAGAAGAGTCAAAACTTCTTCACCCTAAAAAAAACTTATTTTTCAAGTAGAATATATGCAACTGGAATAAAACACATCTTATATTTTATAAAAATTTGAGTTGTTTTTCTTATTAATACAAGTGAATTCTCTCTCTCTCTCTGTCTTGTATGCAAAAATATATATTTATACAAGAGATGTTTTTTACGCAAGTAAATATGATAGGTAATACAGTTATTGTATACACAAGTATCAGAAAAAAAAATCTGTTTGAAAATATCGTTTATACACACAAGTTTCTTTATAAACGTTAATTATTTTATTATAAATCGATGTATGTATAAATGATATCACAAAAGGTTGCACATGGCTAGAGATACATCTGATAACTAGCTATATCAGATTACGTTCACGTTATGCTGACAAGGAAGAAATATATTTCTTCTTGCCCTGCGAGAAGCGTGAATATATAAAGTAACCTAAGCCAAGAAAAAAAAACGATGTAAATAAATTTTATTACTCTATTCAATAATACGCACTTTTTATTACATGCAACTTTCTTCTGTGTGATTTATTCTACCGCGTCTAAGGTCATTTAAGGTATACCGACTACAAGAATCGAAAGAAATACTTTCTATCATTTATCTACCATTTATTTTAAATTATAACCGTATCAACGATCTCGACAAATTTAGGGTGCTTTCCAGCAACGTACACTGTGTTACACAAAAGCATTTTATTGGCTACATATTATCTTAGAAGATGCTTTAGATAATAGTCGCTTTCCATTTACATCAAAACTCAGATAATTCTCACTTGCGTTCTCTCTCACTCGCATGTATGCTACGTGCGAGCGAGAGAGAACGCAAGTGAGAATTATCTGAGTTTTGATGTAAATGGAAAGCGACTATTATCTAAAGCATCTTCTAAGATAATATGTAGCCAATAAAATGCTTTTGTGTAACACAGTGTACGTTGCTGGAAAGCACCCTAAATTTGTCGAGATCGTTGATACGGTTATAATTTAAAATAAATGGTAGATAAATGATAGAAAGTATTTCTTTCGATTCTTGTAGTCGGTATACCTTAAATGACCTTAGACGCGGTAGAATAAATCACACAGAAGAAAGTTGCATGTAATAAAAAGTGCGTATTATTGAATAGAGTAATAAAATTTATTTACATCGTTTTTTTTTCTTGGCTTAGGTTACTTTATATATTCACGCTTCTCGCAGGGCAAGAAGAAATATATTTCTTCCTTGTCAGCATAACGTGAACGTAATCTGATATAGCTAGTTATCAGATGTATCTCTAGCCATGTGCAACCTTTTGTGATATCATTTATACATACATCGATTTATAATAAAATAATTAACGTTTATAAAGAAACTTGTGTGTATAAACGATATTTTCAAACAGATTTTTTTTTCTGATACTTGTGTATACAATAACTGTATTACCTATCATATTTACTTGCGTAAAAAACATCTCTTGTATAAATATATATTTTTGCATCACACACACACACACACACACACACACACACACACACACACACACACACACACACACACACACACACACACACACACACACACACACACACACACACACACACACACACACACACACACACACACACACACACACACACACACACACACACACACACACACACACACACACACACACACACACACACACACACACACACACACACACACACACACACACACACACACACACACACACACACATCTGTTATATAATAAAATAAATGAAATATAATTCTGGGCAACAATATTCTGCGCAGACGCTTAACGCTCGACGCTTGACACTGCCATGTAAAGGCACCTTAACACAGTGTATGTTGCTGGAAAGCACCCAATGACATCATTGCATCGTCTCTGCCAATAAAAGGCTTGAATTCATAGTAAAATATAGTGATTAATTGAACCAGGTTGGGTTAACCCATAGACATAGTATATCTAAACCGAGCGTTTGCCTTTATTTAAGAAGTGGGGGTAAAGATACACGTAGAAAAGGACATACTCTGTTTCGTGCCCCTTGCGTTCTCTCTCGCTCGCACGTAGGATAGCGTACTCTTTCGTATCTCTTTTTGCTACATGTGAGTGAGAGAGAACGCAAGGGGCACGGAAGAGAGTATGTCCTTTTCTACGTGCATCTT